TTTGGTGGTTAAACCTTGTAAGATTATATTCCTTATATAAAATACTATACCCCAAAAGGAGGATATAATCTTACTCTATATTGGGTACCATAGTATCCCCAAATAAAATACTTCTCAAGTTTGTTCCTGAAGTCGAGGTCCGTGATTGCCGTGGCTTTGCCAGGGGCACGAGAAAATGCTTGAGCGCTACGGGCAACCTGTGGCCTGACACAAACTGCTACACCCGGAACCACGTCTTTTCACATCCCACCTCTCGCAGCCGTTCCTTAAATATCTCAAATACATATCGCAATGAGCACTGCGCAGTCAAACGACAGAGAGGAATCATCTCTACAGATGACAAACGAATACAATATGCATGGCTACCTCTGCTCAAGATATCACGAGACGAAAGCTTTCTTGCCTCCCATGCCAGCAGGCCCCCAAAGATCAGGTAACCTTGCTCCCAAAACGCCGCCTTCTCTGAAGCCTGCATGCGCGCTTCGGTGTTGGGATGAAACCTCCTACAGCTGAAGGGGCTCAGTTTCGCCTGGTATAGAGCTTTCAAGATGAAACGTGTGGTGCATAAGCATCATTTTCGCTGCAAGACCTGTGAGAGGCAATCGAAGAAAAACTTGCACATGCTTGGAAGTTTGAGGATCGAGTAGTCACATGATATTCTTTGCTGTCATACAGAGATCAGCCTTTTCGGAAGGTTCTTGAGGTTTTGCCAAGCCCCTCCAGCCAGCGCACCCATCAGCCCAGCTTGCCCGAATCCAAATGCTCAGTCAGATTACTTCTGAAGCATCGAGTCCCATGCAGCGAACACTGGCAGCCTTTCGGACCTCACATCTTTCGCTGCGAAAACTCTCCAATACCGTTCCCAGATACGAACTTGAGGGCAATTGTCATGGAAAGGGGGCAAGCTTGAATTCAGTGTAGCCTCCAGCTCAGACCCAAAGGACACCAGTGCTGCGGCCACGGAGGCGGGGCCAGAAGAGTGGACCTGCAATACTTCGAACGCGAACGTACTGAAGGTTTCTGGATCAAAGAGGCTCAGGCTGTGAAGGATCTGTAGGTTCCGCTGCATACAAAGGATATGACCCATGGTGCTCATGTAAGGTAATGCGGGCAAGAGTCGTGGTCATTGGCAAGGTGAAAGAGCTGATCGGGTGTCAGCAGACAATGTTACAATTTCTTCATTCAAGGTCTCCAGAGTGGACACCCAAAGTGTACTCTCACCAAAAGTCCTAACCCAGAATACACTCACCAGAAAGACATAATGAAAACTGTACGAGTACCCCACATAGAGATTTGTCAGGGAGGTTGAGGGATCAGGAGCTTGATGGGGCACAGGTGCCCACGGCCCCGGGACTTCCAGCATTTAAACCAGTGGTGCAGAGTTTTGAAGGGACTGTTCGGGCTCCAGGCAGGACGTTCAGCCATGCAAGGTAGAAGGATGACTTTGAACGAAGTGGTTCCAGCTCCTTGGCAAAGGCGGCATGCGCAGATTTCTCGCCCGCGCATGCTTGAAACCTTTCGGGTCGTAGCGCTCCAGCACATGGACCAAAGTTCTGATTCAACATGATTCATCCCAATCCATGTTACAAAGAACCTGGGAGCTGGACAACTGCGTTACAGTTTGGATTGAACGATGGTCCCAACCTCGAACCATAGTCATAAGATGTCACGAGCATCTGATATTGTGATCCTTGACACGCGCTTCTCCAGGCAGCCTCCCACCCTCGGCATGGATCGTGGAAGGCAAGCCCGATCACCGTATCCTGACGAGAACGAACTATCTGCTGACGCATGATGACCCCTGTTGAGAAAAGAGGTACGACAAATTGTTTCACCCTGACTCTCTTGCCTCATCACCAAGCAGGACTAACGTTCATCTTCTTCCCCATGACTCCCAGGCAGGCTAACGGCAAAGGCAGCTCCTTGTCACGAATGGCCACCCGTACGATCTCACAACGTGCAAGCGCCTGCAACTGAGGCAAAAAAACTGACTCCTTGACCGGCGCAGGCCAAGGCTTTCCAAAGTGTTACTTGACTCTGTTTCACAGGTCTTTCTTCACATGTCCCCACGAGCAGCCAAGCTTAGAAGCCCCAAAGACCCACCCGCTGGCCTGCTTGAGACGGTCTTCGGCCAAGGTCCCAGCGGCATCTCGGAACCTCCGCAAGAGCTTGATCTGGAACCCAAATTCTAATTCCCGGCTCCAACATTCAAAAATTGCCTGGCTTATACCAAACGTTCTTTCTTTGATGTGCATTTGCAGAAATACAAGGGTGCAAGCAAAAGCACGGTCTGATCATTTGCACATCATCTCTAAAGGCATTTCCGCGTCGGATACTTACGCTGACAGAGGTGAGTCCTGCATCAGCTAATGCGATTAAGAGCGTTGGGACGCTACAGTCCCTGCATCACAAGTGCGAACTTCTTGTATCAAGAAGTGCAGCAGCAGCTGCTGGTTGAGTTGTGTTGCTTAACTGGCCAAATCCTCATAAGCCACGAACCAGAAACCAAAAGGAGTCTTTAGGGGTCACGCAAGCAAGACCAAAACAAATACTAGCATGGAACTAGCTTGGGTGATATGAAAGCACAGCAAAGTCTGTTCAGAAGGCTGCGGCACTGCTGGGAGCTCTTTGCAAGAAGCGTCGCCGCAGAGGGAAGATGCTCTTGGCTTAGTGCTTGGACCTTCATGGCCAGGGGGGGCTATAGGTGTTTTGAGGAGATGTAAGGAGACGCAAAGCCTTTAGTCTTTCACACTATGTCTAAGCCAGCGGCCTCAACCGAAGGCGCTTTTTGCATTGTGGGGCTTCTGCAACTCCACTTCTACTTCAGCTCTCCCCTAACTCTTGTCCAAGCTAGTCCAGGGCTCCACCAGCTTCACGCCACTTACGTGATCTCACCCACAGTAAAGCAACCAGCAGGATGAGCAAAGGATCAGTCGGCTTCCTCCTTGCAGCACAGTGGTTCCGCTGTGCAAGTCTGCGCGCATGCGTGCCGCACAGCGGCTTGATGATGAAATATGCTGCAGTGACAGCAGCGAGGCAAATGCAATTTTGAGGCCACAACAGCTGCTCTGCACAGGTGAGTTTGTCGTCAGATGGGTCTCCACATGCTTGTGGATTTTTTCAACAGGTGTTCACGCTTTTGACAGAGGAGTTCCGAATCCTGACATTCAGGCCCTGTGACATTTGTCCGATGCTGCACAGCTGGATAACCACCCTGTGCCCCCCTGCAAACGTTGCAACGAAAATCAAGGAACTGGTGCTTTGACATCAGCGGATTTCTATTCAGATCTGGATTCGCTTGCCTCAAGCAACCATAAAGCATGTGATGGGCATGCACTGGCACTTTTGCACATCATGTCCGCTTCGCTTGGACCAACAGGGTTTGCTACACATGTAAAGGCGTTCCCTTACCGGATGCAGCCCAAAACATGTTCATCGGGTTCCGCCCTGGAGCAGCCGCGTCCGAATAGACCCATGCAGGCATGGTGGTTGCTGACATCACATAGCAAACCATCCGTTCTGCTCCCCACAGTGCACGTGCCCAGAAACTGTATGCTTGTTTGAAGCTTCTCAAGTGACGGATCATCATAAGGACAGGTTGTTCAACATTGAGTCTTGGGTTACCGTTCGGACAGGTTCGCTTCAGTGGCGCCTCATACTAGTGCCTTGTTTACACAGGTCTGACGGTTCGGCATACATGTGTAAACAATAAGTGCAGTGCAGGACTTTTTGCAACGGCGCAGCGTTGCGCGTCGCCATCACGCCTGACGCTGAAATCAAGTAGCTGTAGATGGTTCTTGGCTAAGGAGCTGCTCACGCGGCAGAAATCTAAATGTTCGCCATCCCTTCGGCAAGGTGTCACCACGGCCCGCCTGCTTTGACTTTTTGCCTTTCTTCTTGGGGCCGCCTGTAGGCAGTCTTCTCTCCAAGAAACTGCGCGCGTGAATTCAACAAAAGCCTCCTTCTGGCATGTCCTTCTTTCGCTTCAGCAGTTTGCCTCAGGAGGGTGACCCACCTACCTTTGCCATCGAGTAGTGACAGCAAAGGGGATCAGCGGAAAGCTCAGCAACAGACTTCTGGCAGGCTGCTTCTTTGGCTTCTCTCCACCAGCTGAACCTGACCATCAGCCCGCTCCACACCCACCGCTAGAACGCTGGGCAAGCCTGATGCTCCCCTGTGTACGCGGAAAGACCTCCAAAACCCGGAACCGAGCCTTCTGTGTTCGGGCTGCCTATGGCCTCGGGCGGAGCACAAGAAATGTCCGTCCAGGTCTGACCCTGCCAATGAAGAACTTTTGAATGCGCGCTTCAGTCTTGAGAAAGTGGTGAAGTGAGATTGCGATATATATATATATAATTTATATATATACCGATGACCACCTGCAACCGCAAGTCAAGTCTTCACCTACGATGACATTGGAGCTGAGCAGGTGGATCAGCAGAGCTGTAGCAGCAGTAGCAATGCCTACAACCATGGTCATCATGGTAGTAGTAGCAGGGGCTAAACGAGTGCTACGCCACATGTTCTTGCAAGAGTCTTTCTGGCTGGGGGAGAGCAGATTTCGTATGTTCCTCGTATGTTCCACTAGAGACGGGCTGCTGGCAAAACAAGTCGCTATTCGTAGCATTGCGATTTTTCGTCACATGACATTGAGTACATAATCTTGCTTTTATTGGGGTCTATACTATCGCAAAAAAATGTTTGAAAGCAAATATGACCTGGATGTAACATCCATACCACCAGTTTTTTTCCCTGTGCGAGATAAGCCAACTCGGAGTTCTGCCCCTTTTGCTTAACGAGATGCCTCTCTGGAACAGCATTGTTAGGGTTCCTAGGACCAGGCCTAAATTTGAGGCGAGAGAACAATTTTCGGCCAGGATGTGAGGATGCTCCACCCAAGAGCGTGATTTCAAGCCGAAAATTGAGGACGCTCCACGCAACAGTTGAATTTTGAGTCTGTTGAAGGATGCTGTAGGCAACGGCAAAGTTTGGGTGGAGGATCAACGGCACTTTTTCGGGTATTTGTTTGCTGGGATTGTCCCCACCCTTGCAAATTCGATCGTGCGGCTATATCTACTATTTCGACAATATGGAGTATGGTATAAGAGATAAAATCTAACATGATGCACCGACCTACAGACAGAACAGTTGTACATTCAAACGCACTATCGCTGAGGTGGACACTTGATTGCGTTTGGCAAGATGGTGTGTGCATTGGTGGGGTTAACGCAGATAGAGTGTGGACAGTGCGGCTGATCATGCTTAGCCGACCAATCTCAAACACGGAAGTTGAATCAAATCGGCGCTGGATTGATGAGGTCAAGCCCGCACGTCCCATCACCTCCCATCGCTTCCGGGTCTCTGGAACCCTGCCCAGGTGGGTCAGAGTGCGGGCACTGGGCAAGGATATTTTCAGATACTTTGAGGGTTGGGCACTGCAAGGATTAGTTGGGCAGTGCAGGGATACTTCGAGGGTTGGCCACTTTCTTGAGTTCGGTGTTGGGCCCTACAAGGATACTTTGAGGGTTGGGAAGTGCAAGGACTTTAGGGGTTGGGGCACTGAAGGGATACTTTCAGGGTTGGGCACTACAGGAATTACTCTCACGACCCCATACCAGGGTGAGGAACGATGCCGAAAAGTACTGTATAATGCCAGTATTTGTAGCAACTGTAGTATTAGATACTGATTTGAACGGAATAGCTAAACAAACAAAGCCTGGAGCCGCGGAGCCACATCTGCACTGGGAGTCGAAAAGGCTGAGGCAGAGAGATCTATGTGTCACAAAGGATACCTACGAGACTTCTGCAGCCGCTGTTTGCAACCTGGTGCCGCGCAACGTGGCACTGTGAGCCATTGCATAGCTAAACACAAGTTTGTCGGACTGACAAGAGGCTTCAGCGCTTGCAAACATTGAGTGTTTCACACGTTGGGTTTGGTCCCGCTGTCAGATATGCAAAATGCGCCGCCATCTACTAGGGCCAGTAGTAGCGTGGTAGCAGGACTAGTATTAGTAGTAGTAGAAGAAGCAATAGTAGCAGCAGCATCCAGGCGTCGGATGTCCGACTGTGGATTAGTCTGCCACTGGTTGACCTCAAAAGGTGTTTTCCGTGTGATATTTCCACAATTTTGCTGATTTGATTCAAGACGTTGCCAGGGCCTAAACGCCTGTTTTGGCACAAGGCGTTTCTGCACTTCGGCGGTGGGAACTCATGCATATTCATTTCTTTAGGAATTTTCGCTGCGGGAGTTAACTCATTTCACACATTTTGTCGCTTTCGCTGCGTGAATTCCAGTTCATTCGTTCCTACATTTACTGCGGGGTTCTAGTTTTTACTGCACGTCGCCCGCCGACATCCGCGTGCTCTTCCGTCGCGCAAACATTTGGGACGCGCTTTGTTCGCTTCAAAATCGCACTTTCGCTCGAGACATCCTCAAAAAATCGGCGTATTTTATCCATTTTTGAAAAAATAGGAGACATCGCCTTTAAAGTGCTCTTGGTAGAGGGGTCCGGACGCGAACAGGTCGCGCCTCGATTTTGTAAAATTGCGCTCCCGTGCGGGACATCTTCGTATCTTCAGAAATCGCGCTCTCGTTTGAAACATCCTCGAAATTTCGTCGATTTATCTTCATCGAAATCGATCAAAATTGTGCTCCGTGCGGAGCATTCGGAAAATTTTGATCATATATGAACGATGATGTTGAGGGTTTCTATACCAATCCTATACCAAACGAACGTTGCTCGAGGTGGCTTTCTGGGCTCGAGAGGGAAGTGTTCTTGTATTTGGTGGAGCTTTTGGGTATAGGATTGGTATAGGATTCGTCGGCAGCATCGTTCAAAATTTGATCGTTTACGGGATGGATCCTATACCAATTCTATACCAAAATGTTGCGCTCAAGGTCGTCTTGTTTTGAAGAAAATTGCACTCCCGTGCGGAGCATCTTCGAAGTGTTGAAGAAAATTGCGCTCCCGGCGGAGCATCCTGAAACTTTTGACGAAAATCGCGCTCCCGTGCGGAGCATCCTTCCCGCGTGGAGCATCCTGAAAATTTTGTTGAAAATTGCGCTCCCGTGCGGAGCATCCTGAAAATTTGGAAGAAAATTGGCTCCCGTGCGGAGCATCCTGCTGAAAAAAAATGCGCTCCCGTGCGGAGCATCCTCAAAATTTCGTCGCTTCTTCATCAAAAATCGCGCTCCCGCGCGGAGCATCCTGAAAATTTTTAAGGGAATTGTGCTGCCGCGCAGGGCATCCTTAAAAAGTCATCGATGTTTCATCCAAAATTGCGCTCCCGCACGGAGCATCCTAGATTTCATTACATATGTATATACATACATACATACATACATACATACATACATACATACATACCTTGCGGAGCAGCCTCAGAATTTGATGGTGGCAACTTTAAGACTTTCCTTTAAGGCCTTCGGAAGCATTTTCTGACCTCCATACACGGCCCACTAATGGATTTCTACCAGAGTCTATCAGGCGGCCTAATAAAGGATGTTCAAACATGAGAATTCGGCCTTCGGCAGCATTCTCTGACCTCCATATATGGCCCCTAATAGGTTTCTACTAGAGTTTATGAGGCGGCTTAACAAAGGAGGCTCAAAACAAGAATTCGGCCTTCGGAAGCATTCTCTGACCTCCATATATGGCCCCCAAATTGGATTTCTACTAGAATCCA